CCGTCAAAAAGGTCTTAGCGTTAGAAAGTTGGTAAACAGGCTTTTCAGGATGTATTACCAGCTGTCTAAGAGTATCATTTCGGGGTACCTAACTCAAGGTGACTTAAGCTCTACTTACCGGAGGGCTCAAAACAGTCAAAAACGTCTTAAAATGGCCAAACATGTGTTTCGTTATGCCTGAGGCTAAAAAACTGAAGGGTCGATGACATCAATGTGGTCATCTGGACTACCTAGTCCGTGCTCGAGATAAAACACCCGTCCAAACCCCAAAACGGTCCCATATGGGCGACGGAAAAGGCCTTTGTGTCATCCAGCTTTATTCCTATGCAAAAGGCCAGGGTCACGGTAATGTGGGGTAATATGCGTCCAGACACTGATCACGTTGCGAATGATGCTCCAGAAACAGTCTTGGGACGCAGAATGCTTCTCCAAGAAGATCTAGGAGGAGTTTCAGCTTTCTAGCTTAACTTGAACCGCAAGTATGACCACATTTTTTTAGTAGAAAATGGCATCCGGGAGGTCGTAGGCCCATCTTCAAGCAAGACAGTGCATCAGTGCAGAGGTCAAGCAAAGCATAAAAGCAGTGCCAGGAGACTGTGATAGGCGTGTGTGGCAAGATCACATCCCAGGCAACTCATCAGATCCAAATTTCATAAAAATGTGTTGGGAATATTGAAATCGAGGCTCGTCGAAGCGAAGCGGTGTTCCAGCATTGAGGAGCTCACGGCGCATGCCAAGTCAGTCTGGGCTAACTTCAAGCCTGCTATGCTGCCAAACATGCCGGTTGGCATGTCGCAGCATGTATTCATGTGTTTGCTTATGAAATGGGGAGCACATTGAGGGGTTATAAACATATCAAAACGCAATGTACTATGTTTTACATGCAAATAAAAGGTGAGAACGAACTTATGGGACACCCTGTATATCAACTAAAATTTAATATGAAAACACCACAAAAACGTATATTGCTATTTTTCTTGAACGATATTTCATATTACGCAAAACCCGCAAACCCGCAAAAAACGCACGCAGAAAACGCATAGTGAAGTCAGGTCGTTAGAGGCATTGTCTATTACATGTGTCCATATGCTGTGCAATGTCCGGTTTGCGTTGTAGTTCGAATTTCGTTGGACTAGCTATTAGTTATTAAGTTATCTGGGAGCTTTTTGATATGGACTAGGCCATTGATGGGACATGCCATCTGACACTGATTAGAACTTATTTGTGGTGCCAACTTTGGCGGAACTGTTTGACAATGAACGTTGCCGTTCAAGCAAACTAATATTTTGATTGCCTGTTCTATCTCGGTCGTGTTATTCCGTAGTGTTGAAGACCATGCTCTTTTTAAACTTCCACCATCAAAAATATCACTCATCATTTGATTTGTGATCCTGTAATGCGGACACTGAATCTAACCACGGTCTTGTACCAGCTAATTAAACTAATCTAAAAAGAAGGAAATGACTGAAATGATAAGATACGCCCTGGAGGCATCGATGTAAATAGGCCGTCTAGGCACTCCGGTCCGGCTTGTTTCTTCCCTATGAATGAATGAATGAATGAATGAATGAATGAATGAATGAATGAATGAATGAATGAATGAATGAGTTTTCACCACAACCCCTGCCGGGTCCTATTGACGGAGAGCTGGAAAATTTGAAACTTCTATGTGGGCTGCTGTCGGTCGCTGTGACACGCAAACGCGCGAGCGTGTTTCCCATCTGTAATTAGTTGGAAAGTGGGCTGACCCTGCGTGTCAGCGACGAAGGTGTCCTTTCTTATCACAGGACACCCCTAGTCTCATCACAGGACACCCCTGCTCTCATCACGGCTGTATGCGCCGCTGCCAAGAGCCGGTGCCACGCCCACACCCACGCACATCACGTAGCACCTGGGGGAGGGAGAGAGGGGATGTTCCGGCTCAAGGGCCCAATCTTACCAATGCCGTGAATAGGCAAAATGCCGTGAATGGAGCCCATTCACGGCATTGGTAAGATTGGGCCAAGGTTCATCTGAGTTCAGAAAGCTGTTGGAAGCCAAAACATTGACCTCAAAGTCGTTCAACCGTGGATGTTTGAAGCCGTTTGATGTCACATCATCAGTAATATGCCCCTGCTGCTTTGCCATTAAATTGCAACGCTTGGAAGTTCAAAAGTTCAAAAGCAGAGGTAATGTTATTTCTTTCAAATAATTATTTGATAATATTATTTAATGGGGCTTATTTCACAACGTATTTGAATGCAAAATTCCTGGGGCTTATATAACATGCTACATATTATTTCTATGGTGTTCCTTAGTAGCACGAATTACAGCCGATCACTGAACTATAGAGGCTCAGTTCAATAATTCAATTTCACCCGGTGTTGCAGCGATATCAACAGTTTCATCATTTGTTCTCCTTCCATTCCTCCAGTCCAATCGGCGAGCGGGCCGCCGCTGCATTGTCATCCGCATGTATCATCGGTGGAAAGTTGGCGGCTCTTTTTCTGATCGAGTCTCGGGCGTCTTTCCCTGCCGTCCGCGGAAAAGACGTACGACCCCTCGGCGTCGTTTTTGCACCGTCCGGAAATTGGAGCGCGAACACGGGGGACCGGCGTGAGACGATTTCCAAGACTGAAAACGGAGGGTTGCTACAGAGGTACCGGTACGTCTCACATTGTAAACGCAGCAACATTACTATTTTCAATAATTAATTCCTTGTTTTCTATTGAACACCGTTTATATTTCAAATTGGCATTTAATCCATTCCGTCATTTCTCTCATCATTCTAATCGTTCTTAGTTTGCTATAGAACAGCATGGGCAATCAAAACTTACTGAGGCGAGGTTGGGCGACCTGAGCTAGGCGGGCTGACATCAATCAGACTCAACTGGCACCGTCGGCCGCTGGCGCAGAGCCCAGCTTCAAGTGTCGTGTCGACTGATGTATGACACCTGCTTCGAGGGAATAATTAGCGCCGCAATGCCCGGCGATTTGCGCAATCCGTGTGTCAGCTAGAGAAGGGCGTCGGTCGTTGACTTGACGCGTGTTTTTCTGTTGAACCCCTGGCGATTGTAATGTATGAAAAAAGTCAAGAAATATAAACATCGGTTGCATGCCTCGGCACCATTTTGCGTAAGGAAAGACACCCCTAGACAGGATGGAAAATGTACAAACCAAATTATTCCTGCACGTATTTCTGTTTTGTTTATTTTCGCAGGTATTCGTAACGCACAACGAACTTTCTTATTTTTTACACTCAGGCATCAATAGAATGCCGCTCCAGTCACCACTAACATTCAAACTACTCTCATGCAGTATCACTTTTCCGTGGACCATACCGTCATTTACCAATGCTCAACATTTGTCGCTATGTCGCACGCCACTCAAGCCAAATTATGTGCAGGATTCAACAACCATTACTCTCTTTGTTATTTTTCCCCCTCCCACCTCCTTGTTTTCATGATGACACACCTTTAGCAGGAGTGACCTGTTTTACCTGTCCTCTTCGACAGGACCGCACGTCTCCTTCGGCGGCGGCGGCGGCGCATCGGGTTTGTATTTGTCACTAGGGTTTTCTTGGTTTTCATCTGTGGACATGGATCACTCTTTTAGAGCCCAGAGTTGTCGAGATCATCATGGGCTCCCTTGAAATTTTCATTGATGCATTCATAATTTTAAACTGTTCAGCAAAGCTGCATATGTCACCCTCTTTGGATCTTAGATTCCTTCATTGGTGGCCCAGTGGAGCATATTGTGGTGTCACTCACCTGGTGGCATGCAGGATCCGAGGGGGTCCACCCCCAGAATATCGTCCGTGGAGCTGGGCAGAGCCTCCCGCTTTCGCCGCCGGTTCTTGGGACCCGGCTCACCGGTCAATATTTCCAACGCCTCTGCTTGTGCATCTGCGACGAGAATGAGAAATTAGATGTTCGCTACATTCTTAGGTTCATGTAGTCAGTTCTCTTATTTACAGGAAATTGTAGTTAAAAAGCAAATGAAATGACAAAATTGCTCTGGGTGCGGTAACTCAACTATAAACCGACCCAACCACTATGTTTTTCAGTCAAATGCCCCCCCCCCCAAAAAAAAAAACGCATTTACTTTATAAATTCATCTTGATGTTGGCTCACTAGGGTTCATTTTCTTGCCACTAGCTATCCTTATGTCACGATCAATCAACACACGACACCCTCTGCAAAACTGGCTCGTAATATCGATGACAAAACAACGACACTATTGCCTACCTTTTCCTTTGTCATCGGCGCCTGGCAGTGGTATGGAGGCGCAGAGCTGGACCAGTGCGAGCCCGACGAGCAGGATGGCCAGCTTCATCTCTGACGTTGGAGCCCCCTGGATGCTTTTTGAGGTCGAACTGGAGACGAGATGCCTCGCTCGCCCGATGGTCGGGGCTCTATGCGGGGCGCGGCGACGATTGCTCGCCTTTTTGACGCTCCGCTGGCGGCACTGTGAACTGGCCGTCACAATATGTGACGTGTGATGATGTGTGGTGACGTGTGACGCTGTGTGACGACATGTGACGTGGTGTGACAAATGTTGTTCTCGTTAGCCGCCGCCCTCAGGTGACAGGGGGTAGAGAAACATGTTTTTGTCGCGTCAAGGCGGCCGGATTTCGGGTGACGATTTGACAGCGTGTTTTGATTGGCCGCTTGCACCGCCCAGTTTTGTGTAGAATTTAATGCACGTAATAAGCAGGGTTTCTGGGATTGACGCAGAAAGCCTTTCATATTTACCACATTATTCAATTAATGTTAGAAACAGAAGCAAAGAGAACCTCACAAATAGGTTGTCGATAGGTCTCACAGCTATGAACGATAGGTGCGGACTACGCTATGACGATAAATTCTGGTGCATTCATCACAACAAAAAGTACCGGATTGAACTATCCGTTACCTCTCGCTCGTCCACAATTAAACCTTCGTATGCTTAGCACACCACCAAAACCATGCTCATAACTCATTTTTCTACGCAATCCACTAATGATTCGTCTTTTTTGACAGGTGCTCAACATCGAGGACCCTGGGCTACGGGAGGCCATGAACGTGGCCCTGAAGAGCGGCCACGTGCCCATCGAGGACCAGTGGCGTATTGACGCCATCACCAAGCGCTACCACCAGTGTCTGGCGCAGCCCGAGATGCCCCCGGGCGCCGCAGGTGGGTCAGAGGGGCGAGGGAGGGTCACGGTAGTGTCAGGTCACCGGTGTCGGCTCGGCTGGTGTGAGGCAGGATGGTGTTGATATATCCGCGCTCATGCACAGAGGAGGTAAGCTATTTCTTTTCTGGACGTAATTGGATGAGGCGTAAGCTATGCGCCATGGGAGGCCTTGCCCATTCCGTCGTATTAGATCTCTCTCGTTAGTGTTTATAAGGAGAACTGCTGCGGCACATTGCTGCCGGGGCCGGACCACATGTCCGGAGCGCCATCAGCATGCATGGCGAGCCTCCACTGGCCTTCTGGTCGGCGCCGGGTGGCACGTTCTAACGCCTTGTTGATGCTACCCACCTCTTATCTAGACTAAAATCATTGAATAATTCAACACTGCCGCAGGAGAATGGCGCGCCAGAAACTGTAAATAATCCCTTTTTACCAAGACCTTCACGTGGTTTGAATGTAAAGTATGATGAGTAAAGTTTGCGGTAGGTTACCTTGTGCCAGGATTACCATACACAATCCACGTGCCATCATTGCTGTGTCAGTTCAATAATAATCTAACCTCGCACCTACATACCTTTCTTCGGTTTGCCATTCACACATACTGCCCACTGTTACTAGATCAAATAAATGAACAATCGTGCATCACCTCACATCAATCACATTAGTGCAGATCGGTGGGGTTGCGGCCCACGCCGATCGCTGGTGAATGGGATGACCTCCCACGAGCCGATGTCACGTGACGCGCCCTGGGGGCACGGGCGGGATCGACCGGTCAGACGGGCGTCCCATTGTCCCCGCGTGACATCCATAGATGGATGGTGGTGGGGTAAAAGCAGATGCCGAAAGAACGGCACAGGCGCGGGTCACAGGGCCATTGTGCGGGCGCCTGAGTGCGCCTCGGGAGAGAACGATAAAGGTGGGCCCTTTCTGGCGAAATGCGCAGCAAGGTGGAGAACTTTCGGTTTAGAATGCTCAGTGCTTACTGAAATCTTGCCCGGTCAATGTTTCGTAACTCCGGTGATCGGGAGATGGATAGGTAATGGGACCCCATCTGTCGATTGGCTCCCATACGGCTTAGCAAAGAACTACTATACCCAGCAGACCATTTTCCTGGCGTTTTTTTTTTTGCAAGTATTGCTTTCATGTAAAAACGTTGATGCTTCATCTGCCCGTCACAGACCAACCTGTCATCATATGCTGTCTACCAAGTCCATGGAGTATATTGGGCTGCACTTCTCTCTTCGCCTCTAATAAAAAAGCATGCGTCGCACCGAAGCCCATCACGCTCCATCATTTAAATCCAGATTAGTGGCTGTGCTTTTTCCGCTCACCGTTCCCTTCCACCGTGCCTCCCCCTCCTCTCTCTACTCGCGCATCAGGCCGAGAGAGCCAGTGGGGAGGAGCGTGGCCAGCCCCGGTGACAGAGTGGTCCCATTAGCCGACCTCGGAGTGCACGTCACTCGAATGGGCCCTCTTCCTCACCCCAGTGCCCCGTATGAACGTTAGGCCAAGAATTTAGGCAGAGACGCTGGCTGATTTCTGCAGCGCGCCACCGAGAGTCTCTTGTGACCATTTGCTGTTTGAAGTTAGGAGTCAGATAGCCTTTAGCTGTTGACGTAAAGCAATATGCAGGGATCAGACACAGGGGACATCTGTCATCACAACTTGTCATGATTCACTCTCATGCCGTCCATGCCGATGCCTTAGTGATGACTGGGGACTGTCCAATCGCTGCTCAGAGCCATCACAACACTTGTCAATCTGTCCACGTTGACAGTCTTTGACCGTCCCAGTCTCTCGTCAGTTTCATCGATACGAGCCCTGAGTCGTGCTCGTTGATTTGTGTGTTTATTGTAAAGCTAGGGCGACGGCCAATCGTAGAAGGCATTACAGGAGTTTGATCGACCCTGATGTCACCGTATACGAGTTGACGGATTTGTTTACATTTGTTTTGGAGTGGGTTCTAAAAATAGGTGCAAGGCTCGGAGAAAAGCTACAGTGTAGCTAGAGTGTAGAAGACAAAACAGACAAAATTGTTCTTGCAGTTGCATTTGCGGCTGCATTTTGCATGCTGCGATGCATAAATAGTTGTGTCTGATGTGCTCACAGGCATGTCATGATTGCTGTCCAAGCTTGTTTCGTCGATGCTTCTTAGCAGCTACCAAACGCCAAGCATATCATAATCGACCCCACAGTGATACTAACGCAACACTGTGGGATTTACAAGGGGTTGCGTCAGTAATTCAAATCAGCTTGATCGTATTCAACCACGGGATTTGCAAAGCTTCTGACACATTTCACACCATAATCTTCTAAAAGAGTACGATCCCTGCAATTTTGACTACTAAGCGGGGCTTCCAACGATGCAGCATATGTCGGTCGGACGGGCGGGCTGGGCCTGAAACCCTGCTCGGGATGGTTGGGGGGTCGGCGGTCGGACAATGGGTCCCCGGTCGGGGCTGTCGGGGAGGTCAGCTGGGGAGGTCGGAGAGGTCGGGTCAGTCGGAGAGGTCGGCTCGGCCGGCGCGGCGGTCGGACAGTCACCCCCTCCCCCCCCCCCAGTCGGGGAGGCTGCCCGTCAGTCTGGGAGGTCGGCTGGCGCGAGTGGGTTGTCCGCTCTGAGGTATATGACGGCGGTGACGGCGTCACAGCTTGTTACTCGCTGATGACGACTCCCGGGGAAGTCGGGTCGGCAGCTGGGGAGCAGCCACCATATCTCCAGATTGGTTTCCGGCCCGACCCCGCGGCCGTGCCAAAACGAGTGGCAACGGCTAATGAGCCCGTCAGTGGCGCTGTTTTTGGTAGATTTGACGAGTTTTTGATGGGATACGATCGGCCTTCTTGTGTAAGTTGTCGGTATCTTTGCCGCTTCTCCGCTAGAGTAACTTCGTAGCCGCTTCTAACGAGCCTGAGCCGGCCAAACTATTTCGAGTCAACGTCAGTTTGATTGCAAATTAGGTTAAAGTTGAAGAGAATCGACGCTAGGCAGGAGAAATTATCTCACCAGCGAAGGGCCGCTCTTCAAAGGCTGAGTGTTTGGACACCACTGATCTCAGCTAAGTCGAGAGTGAGCCAAGTGGGATAACTAAGTCAAGGGAGGTGGAGGGAATGAGAGTCCTCAAAGACCAACAGCACTTCCAAGGTCAGAAACCTTGATTGATGTCATGTTCTTCTGAAACATCCTTACCTCATTTCGTCAATAATACGTCTTAGTAAGTTGGGTGTATTGGTCTCCGTCTATCACTCCCCTTGTGAAAAGTAGAGCAACTTCTATCCAGTTTCCTCTCCGGGCAGAAGAGGAGCCGATAAATGAATGCAAAGCTCTAGCCCCTTACTTCCCATGAGAACAGTAGAGCTGCCGGTACAGCGAACCCGGCTGAGTAGGACGCTCGGGTGTCTGGGTTTCAGCTACCCCGTCCAGGAAGGTGAGCAAGTCCAGCGCGCTCTAAAGCGGAACTAAACTTCTGAACTCCTCACGTGCCAGAGTTATGTGGAACTCTGGAGCGCTGTAAATAAGTAAGCTGGTCCGGAGTCTCTCCCAACTTGAGGAAAGCGCGATTTAAGATAACATTTGCTGATGCTAAACTCACCCACTGAATTGTTTTCCTCTTTTAATCTGTGTTTGCGTTAAGCCTTTAAGTGTCGATGATTTCAGTTTTTTTTTTGTACGTCTTGTGTACAATGTAATCGTCACAGCTTGTGTTTAAGTAAGCTGTTATGCCGTCCTTCTGGTGTCTTATTCCTTGATGATTAAGTGTTTGTTTATCTGTCTGTTGCCGGCCTACCTATCTGTCTGCCTTGCATACCTATACCTGTCATTCAGTCTGTTCGTTTGTCTGTCTATTCGGGAGTTTTAAAGTAGCGGCTCCAGCTCGAAGAATTAGATCTGTGTGCATGTGAGTCGGGACCTATACGGCGATCGCTCTACCCTTTCGTTCATCGGCTATAGTTGGTCTGTATTCTGTCAGTCTGAGTGATTCCAAGAATCTGTCTCTATCGTCTCGAGCGGTCATAGAAAAAAGACTGCTCACATCGATCCCCCGCCCATAACCCCGCCCTCATCCTTATGTGGCCGAAGATGTACTAAAGAACCTGATGCTCATGATGGAATTCCACCGGTCGCTATGTGCTGCGTATGAAGGGTTCGTAGTTTAGTCCTGTGATGAATGTTTCCCTGCTGATACAGATATTTTATGAGCTTTTTTAGAGCGGACATATTGTTTGAGTTTGATTTAGAACAATATGCGTTGGTGCAAAAAAAATGTTACTCCCATATTTTTAAGCTATTCGATTTTGTTTTTCATTATTGCTTTCCGTCACGCACTTATTATGCATATTGACTCGGCACTGCCAGCAGCCTTGATTAACCCTCAGCTAAGCAAACACTTCAGTTCACATATAAACGATAAAATACTTAAGCCCGTTAAATCCTGCGAACTCAGACGTCGCTGGCTGCCGTCGAACCTGGCGCGGCGTGGCCACCTCGGCGGGCAGTCCGATAGGCCAGGATTGATGGCGCCGGCCGGTCCGCAGATTGGTCCCGCGGCGACCGTTCCACCGGGCCGAAATTGGCCCTCTCTCCGACGGCGGGCTGTTTTATCCGCTCACCAGTACCCCCACCCCACACCACCCCACCTACACACTGACCCAATCATCCCCGTAGTCAGTCCCTCAGCCAGTCCCGCAGCCAGTCCCTCAGCCAGTCCCGGCTCTCAGGTCGACGGCAGAGCTCACCGGGCGGGGGCGGTGTGGTGCGGGCTTTATTGCCGCCTCTAAGTGAATCAGGTGGCAGCAATGGTGGCTGATTGGTTTCTTGCTGCGGCAATGAAGATCATGTGGCAGTTTGAATGCCCGCCAGAGATGGGTGTAGCTCCCGGGTAATTGGTGGTCATGGAAACACAAATGTCGTGGTGATGTATTTTCTTTCGTGTCTTTTACCTTCATTTTCTTATCCATCTAAAGCATTAAGCATGTTCTATAAAAGCAGTACCTAAGCACCATTTGAGGTAGGAAGAGGATGCGTCCGCATTATCAAAAATAGCCTTTCCGTGGCATTGCAATGAAAAAAAGGTCGAAATCTGAAAGCAAGTTGTTATATTTGATCCCACAGCTCTGTCATGGTCCTGACTGAAGCAATTTGGCAGGTGTTCTTTTACAGCTGTTTCAGCGTCATCTATCGCTTTTTCAAACTGATGGCAGTATCGAAACGAGCCCTTGGACTTAAGGTGACTAAAATGTCACAAAAAATGTTTTTTACTCGTGGTCACTCTTTCTCTCTCTCTCTCTCTCTCTCTCTCTCTCTCTCTCTCTCTCTCTCTCTCTCTCTCTCTCTCTCTCTCTCTCTCTCTCTCTCTCTCTCTCTCTCTCTCTCTCTCTCTCTCTCTCTGTCTTTCTCTCTTTCTCCTCTTCTCCCATAAAAACAGCAGTCATAGTTCGTTCTATCTGAAAATACGAGCATGCGGTAACACGTCGATCAGATCGTATACGACCCTCCCCTGCCATGGCCGTCAAATAGCAAACGCACGTTTCGTCAGGGCTCATTTACCAACGCTCTGCCAGCAATGGATTGCACTATGACGTCACTGGGGTATAGCGTTATTGGCGTTATCGGTCAGCACGTGCCTCGTATCGTGCCAGCTGGCACAGTGACGTCATCAACGTAACGGAAGGACACCCTGCCAGAGAGCAATTGAAAACGCCGTCAATCAAATAAGCGTCGTGCGCACTTGGCGACGGCACGCCATCGCAGACTTGGCAGTTTGCCAAGAATATTGACGCAATGCTGCAACGTATTTAAATGCTCAGCTGGTTTAATATATTTATTTTTACAAGGTACATTTACGTACATTATCGAGTTTTTTTTTAACCTTCATTTCACAATCGAAATTTATTTTCTCAATAGGGATGGCAGCTGTCGTTTGTTTGATGATTATAGCATCAGCAACACTCGACAGTTTGGGTTCAGTGATATTAATCTTAATTCTTCTTCTTTTTGCTGCGATAGGTACAATATCTTACTGTTTCTTTTCAATTAATTGTCTTTGCATCGCCTTTTTTTGCCTATTTCCACCAAGCACGAGTATGGTACGCATCAGTAGCAGTCCACCTGTGACACCCCTTGCAGCCAAAGGCTCGGTATAATCTCGTCAATATCAGGCTCAGTGTCCGGCGTTCGTCGCAAGACGCCATGTGGCGTCCTCTCCCGACTGCCAAGGTGACGTCACGACACGGTGACGTCACCGACAGCTGACGCCGTGACAATGGTCCCGCCGAATCTTTATGCGTTCGTCTTACTTAGCCGGAGGCAAACTGAGGACCTGTTCAATTTCTGGACGGTAAAAATTGTAATTTGAATAAGAGGCTTCAAACTGAGTTTTTTTTTACAAAGGAGCATTCTAGCGACAGGTCATTCGAGATGGTCGAATCCTATTATCATTATTTTTTATCTTAACATTATGCATGGTTTGACGGAAAACTTATTTTTAACGAAAGACCATCGTGCGTGTAAAAGAAAGCTCATCATTTTTTTTTGCTGCCGTCAGTCACCAATCCCTCGCTAAAAATGAAAGACTTTCCAACACATTAACCTATAATGCGTGTGTTCAATATATATCACATGTGTGCCATACATTTGATTAAGCCGATGGCCTAATTTAATTTCGTTGCATAACCAAATCCAACTCATCATCCCTTTGCTGCGTAGGTATAATGCGCATAATGCGCACATGTGGTGCGTAAGCGACATGTTGCAATGTGATGCAACCCCCACCAATACGCCCCTAAATGGGATAGGCACGCCCTAATCGCATCTAATTAGGAGGTTTATGACACCGGTTATCTTCTAGCTATGATAAATTGTGCCTATAAACTGCATCAGGACACAGCATCAGTTGAAGTCCGACCATTTTCTACTGGCATTAAAACGTATAAAATAAGTGTGTGGGCTAATATGCTCCTTGTGCGTGTGTTCGAAGCCCTAACACGTTTTACCCCCGTTAGACTTTAAGGGTAACGCCTTGTTCTCGTTTTGGGTCGTGATGTTTTTCTGTATAGGTAGGTAATCTGTGGCTTTTTGGATGTTGATGGAAGTCGTCAAACTTTGACGGGAGGCTTCAGAATTTGCACGGCTTTCTAGTTGGTTATGTAGTCTGAAGCTTTTCATAACTGTGAAACGTTTGACCTATATAATGCAACGATAAGTGGTAAAAATGCCAATTTACTAACGAGTTGCGGGTGACAAATGTGGGTGACCTTACCGCATATGCACGAAACGGTGAAATGACACTAGCAGCTCATGAATATATAAGCATGTGTAACATCTGCAGCCAGGCAACGGAGGGCTCGCAGTCCAGACAATTTGGGTCTCTTTGATCAATGCCAGCAGCAGCCGCGGCATCGCATATTCTAATTTGTACATCAAAGCAATTGTATGTTGTTATGGTATGATGTTAAATTATTTCTTATTTTCACGGTCGTTGTGTGGAAGGTTGATGCCTTTGTCCTAATTTATATCGTGTCAGTGAATGATGCATCGATGAGAGTGACACTGACATTTGACAGTTATGTGTAAACATGAAAATTTAAGAACTTAACAGAAGCATTCGCAATTTATTTTTCCCACCGCTTCTCGTAGCTGAGCAAGAATCAATCACTCTTTATCAAATTTGGTTGTCGGGTGCAAGCGGGCAAAATATCCCCCCCAGCAGGGCGCGTGTGGCTGAATACCCCAGCGGGACGCGGGTTAAGCGATACTCATTCAGTCGGTGATAGGTTGCACACAAAAAATATTAACACCGTTAGCGGTGTAATTGCACAGTACATATCTGAGCACTTGAGGAAAGTTAATTTAGTCCCTTCCCCGCTTATATTACTTGCGCTTCTAAAAGAACACCAGGAAGAAGGTAATAGAACACTGTTAGGAGGGTTGGGTGTTTTACTACATGTAGTACTACATGTAGTACTACATGTAGTAAAACACCCAACCCTCCTAACAGTGTTCTATTACCTTCTTCCTGGTGTTCATTTAGAAGCGCGAGTAATTTAAGCGGGGAAGGGACTAAATTAACTTTCCTCAAGTGCTCAGATATGTACTGTGCAATTACACCGCTAACGGTGTTTTTTTTTTTTGTGTGTGTGCTAACCCCCCCCCCCTTATTTACTCGTCACCATTGCTAACTACCTCCAACCACGGCGTCTTCACCAATCACCAGACCTCGTCTCACCGCACCACTCTGGTCTGTTTCAGACGAGGAGTACTGTCCACGGGTGTTTGACGGCTGGAGCTGCTTCAACTACACCAAAGCCGGAGAGACCCAGTCCGTCACCTGCCCCTACTTCGTCATCGGCATGAACGCAAAACGTAAGTGTGTCGCTTCGTGTGAGCGTATAATTATATTTTAGGCGTGCACAATTTTTTATGAGATGCATTCTTTTTGACCTGAGGTGTGCCTTGCGTGATTTTCGGCCATCATTCATGCTCGTCTTTGTCAGAGTTTTTTTTTTCACAAAAATAAGATTACCTCAGTCATTGATCCCTAATTAACATCATAACTATGCCCTTACATTCAAGGCCAGAGCCCAGAATGATTGCTGTTGTGCCATCCACGTTCGAAAAAAGAAAACAAAACAAATAGACTGCATGGCTGTTGTTTCAGGTAGCTGCGTCAGTCCATCGTCTTCGTTCTTACTTCCGCTAAGAACAAATCCGAATTCGTTCAATTTTACGATTGGATTATTTAACTTCTGCTCGAATAGCTTTAAATTCATAATGAGTATCACTGCTGAAGATTCTGTTGACAAAATGCTTGTGCAAATCCACGGTATTTAGGTACGTAAGTCAAAGCTTTGCTTTATTGGTCCCGATGTTTCAAAACCTAATATTTTCATAATAATTAACAAAATTCCTGGAGCTGTGGCAGTAAAGTCGAAAGGACGGTGTGTAATATCTTGCTGGCACGTACATAAATTGTTGATAAATATTGCGCACGTCTTTGCTATTCAGTCGGCCATGCCTTAGCCAGCATACATATAATGCAAAAGACAGACGGCCTGAAATGTTTTATTATATTGCTTCATAATCACTGGCCTCATCACGGTCAGGAGTATCCCACTGGCTCGTCTACTGGAACAGGTCGACGTTCTGCTGGTTGGCCTTCTTCTCCCGCTTGATGCGAGAGTACGGACTGACGTCATCCCTGAAGATGAAGTTGTAGAGCGTGCCGAACCAAGAATCGTGCGTCGGTAGGTCCTTGTAGAACTCCGGGGCGATCTTGGAGACCATGGGCAGCTTGGAGCCGGGCACGGCGGGGAAGTCGTGGTGCTCGTTGTGGTAACCCTCGTTGAACGCCAGCATGTTCATCCAGCCGTAGTAGCTGTACGTCTCGTTGCTGCGGTTGAAGATGTAGTGCTCCGAGATGAGGTGGCCGGCCATCGGGTGCAGGCCCATTCCTAGCACGAAGCCTCCGATGAGGTAGAACAGCCCCTTACCGCCGAAGTAGTGGTAGACGGCAAAATCGGCCGCCACCTGCACAACGATGTTGGCGATCTCCATCAAGGAGAAGGGCTTCGGTCGGACGAAGACCGGGCGCAGGAAGTAGGTGAACGGCAGCACGAAGAGCCACGCCACCTTGCCGAGGGTGGAGCTGAAGAGACGCGCCTCCAGCTCGGTGGGGAGGTCCACGTCGAGCCCGTCGGTGCCCTGGTAGCGGTGGTGCTCCATGTGGTACTTCTTGTAGGACACCGCCAGCGGCACGCCGATCGGCAGGTTGGCGAAGATGCTGAACACCTTGTTGGCGAGCGCGTGGTTGTGGCCGAACGCGAGGTTGTGCGCCAGCTCGTGGATGGCCAGCACCATGGAGTGGTTGATGGTGCCGCTGACCACGTAGGTGACCGCCACCAGCCACGGCCAGGAGAGGTCGCGGACGTAAAACAACATGCCGAACTGGATCAGCACCTGGAGCGTCACCTGCACGCACATGTGCCAGTCGGAGCCGTACAGCTCCTTGATCTGCGGATACTTCTCCAGGATGGCCTTCCGACGGATGGCGTGCGGCTCGCCGGCGCTAGTCCAGTAAAAGTCGCGCTTCTTCCGCTCGATGGCCCCCATGATGGCGTCACGGTGATGGGCGCGACACTCGTAACCCTAGCCTGTCCGTCCGAGGCAGCCTCCTGGCGAGAGAGACCCGGTGCTGGCCGCTTTATATCGACAGCAGTTTCGACGCTCAAGTGTGCCTTCATTCAACACGTGTAGATGCTTAGCGTTCAAACGGGCACAGCTGATGCCCTTCAATGGGTGCTATTAGGCAGCTCGGGAGGTCATTATGTAAGGCAGCGCTGCGCTGTATGACACTCGCCTGTCCTCCGGTGATGACACACGACGCCGCGCGCAATGACACACGACGGCGCGCACCGACACGACAAAGCGCATACTGACATTTACTACTGTCGTTCATTTACATATTATCGTCTTGCATATTTTCTTCGTATGGAAATCCCATCAAAATCGTAAATTTCACCTCTTAGAACGATGAGACTTTTTAGAGGCTACCTATAGTCGATTTGTAAGTAAGTGGAAACCGGAAGCCCAGTCGGGTAGTACTCCTTCGCTAGACAGGCAAACTGATTTTGTCAAGAGAAAGATGGAAACGAACATTCATCTTTATTTTCTCTTTTGATTGGACACTCTCTCGCACTCCAAGGTTAATCGGCTTCATTCAACTCTCCTCCGTGGACATTGCGCCGAGGTCAAATTCGGCCGGCCGGGAGGTCATCGTGGGGCCTGATCGGGCCATTCGCCCCAGGAAGTGTTTTGCGTCGGAATCGTCGCCAGTGACGTAGATCAGCGGCACTAGTGACGTATACTGCCTCCGGCTCGCTGATTGGACGGGATTGGCCGGGCCGCTCGCCGTCCTCTGCCGCCGTTCGGACCGCTGTTTCCGGACCCGGTGCGATAGGAGAGGAGGAGTGACGGCCTGTTGTGATACCAGCCACGCTATCGGCCGCCATATTATGACGTGTTTGTGGCAAGGAAAGATTGCCTGGAGCGAATGAAGTCGAACTGTTTTGTAAGGAAGATTGTCATCAGATTCCTGCATTTTAATTAAAGCGAAATATGATTAGTGATAGGTATGATAAGACTCCAGTCATAAAAAATATGAATACTTGGTCTCCACTTTAGCAACTATTCGGTATTCATATCATCTGATATGACATACTGTGCGATTGCGAGTAAGATGTTAAAAATGTTTTTAGACGGAAGATTCCTTTTCGCGTGAGTCGGTCCGACGTTCGATCTTATCCTGTCACATGAGAGCATTTCTGTTCGAGAGAGTGAGTGAGCTCACGGACTAATCGAGTCACTGAATCTGGATGGCGGCTTGGCTCTGGATTTTCCAATCTCCCGGTATCCATTCGACGCGTGCGCGTAAAAATGTCATAAAAAGTGAGCGTGGATAACGGAGGCATAGATCTGCGAAATTGCTACACCACTTTATTGGAAGTAAAACGTTCCTGACTGAAAGGTTCTTTACAGTAAAAAGGTAGCCAAAAATATTGATGTTTTTTTCTTTTGTCATAGATTGAATTAATTGGTTGATCGTCTTAGCTATTTTTTTTTTCTCTCTAAAGAAGGCGAAAGTCGAGGTTATGGTATACTCTGTGCATGCAACAAATGCCTCTTGTCAAACACATTTATTTGGTTATATGATATACCTATTTAAGTTCAAAAGGCTATAAAACTCCGTTTAGCTTGTTATATGCAACTGATGAGTATTTATCCCCAGTAATGCCCTTGCAGATTGTCTCATTATAACAAAGTGTCTGTTCCATAATGGCCATGTTGGAAATGTATTCTCTTCGCACAGTTCGCTCTTTCCACGTGTTCCGTGCAGTGTACACACTTCATCCAGAATTCATCATCCAGGAATCGCGTGAAAGTTCACCTTTGCCCTAACCTTTGGTGCCGCTGCCGGCAGCGTCGGCACCAATGTGGCCCGTGGGCCGATGATTTTCTAGGCGCGAATATTGCCCGTTTCCCTAAGGAGGCCGTGAGAGCTGCTGTTGCGAGGCGGCCTGCAGCAGATTCTCAGTATTAACTGGACTGACAGCCTGCCGGGTGCCGCGGGAGCGCCTTCCGGGACCCGCTGGAGGGCTTTCCGACCCCGAACCCCATGGGTTACGCTACTTCCTGGATCGCCTGAATGCATGTCGGCAGCTGCGGCGCAATTAAGACGTATTTAAGTGACGTGACGGGTGGTGGTGTTTTCGGGGACGGTGCTGATACCAAGGTCAGGCGCAAGGTATGCTGGCATAGAGGGAGAGGTTAAGTCCTTCCGCCGAAATGAGTGACTTTTGTTGGTCTGTGAGAAAATGTCTCCGTCCTGAAAGGCGCCTTCTTCATAAAGAGTTCAATAAGTGTATGTAAAAAAAAAAAAAACATGACATGCTGAGCATTCCAGTCCCTTAAAACAACAACAACAACAAAACACATTTATTAGACATAAAATGGAAATAAGCAAATAGTCCAGGTGGTGGTGCAAAAGCTGATGCTTAAATCGAGGCACCACCACCTGGCAACGTAAACAGAATAAATGAATATGGTACAATCCAGGGCCGCGGAGAGTCAGGTCGGCTGCCGCGACAGTTGGCATTGATAAGCGGTGATAGCGGGCCGGCGCCAGTCCACCGAGACGGGGCTATGTCAGTCTGGAGGTGTTTTTGAGGAAGGATTGAAAGGCAAGGAGAACCTGAGGTGCGTTTTGCTTTGTCGTGTTGTGTCCGTTTAGAAGTGTGTCTAATTTCATGGTGTCTGATTGGTTGTTGAAATCAATGTTGAGGTGTGTGGATACTTGTGCAAATAGTGTGGACCTCGTCAGTGCGTAGTGTGGGCAGTGAAGGATGAAGTGTTTTGTGTTTTCTTGTGTGTAGCCACAGGCGCACTCGGGGCTTGTTACTTTTTGTATAGAGTACTGGTGTGCGTTTAACTTGGACATCCCCAGTCTGATTTGTGTGTGCAAAGTGTTCCCAACCTTAGTTCCTAGTGCGTTGTAGTGTGGGGGCTGTGGTGTGCCGAGTAGTAGTTTAATGCTTTGTTTGAATTTTTTCATCTCTTGGCAGTTACGTATGTGCGTAGGCAATTGGTTCCAGTGCAGGGATGTTTTGGGAATTAAGGATCTCTGGTAGCAGGATTTTGTAGTTCGCGGGACTGTGTGGTGGTTTTGATTTCTGAGATTTCGTCCTGCCGTGCGCCCTCTCTCCTCTGGGATCATGTTTGTAATGTAGTTTGGTATGCGAGGTGTATTGTCTATGATCTTTTTGTATAGAAAAAGCCTGTGGATTTTTCGTCTCGTCTTCAAACTGTCCCAACCGAGTTCGTCTCTAAGTTTGTCTGTGGATGTCCGATGTAGTGTGTTCGTCACGAGTCTAGCGGATCTGTTTTGTAGTCTTTCCAGTCTTAATTCGTCGTGTGCAGTGATGTGTCCGTCGTAAATGCAGTCACAATAGTCGAAGTATGGTCGCACGTAGGTCTTGTATATGGTGTTTAGTGTCTGTCGTGGAAGGAATTTCGCAATTGGGTAGAGGGGGCTGAGGGCAATGTTTATTTTTTGAATGATTGTGGTAACGTGGGTCTTGAAACGCAGGTCTTCTGATAGAGTTAATCCCAGATGCTTATGAGTGTCCGTTTTTGATATTAGATGCCCATTGAATTGAAGTTGAGGTGAAGTATAGTTATTTCTTGTGCTGAATGTCTGAGTTATGGTTTTTGATGAACTAAAAGTAATGGCCCATTGCTGTGCGTACTGCTCAATTGTGTTAAGGTCTTCTTGAAGTGAAAGTTGTGCTTGTGTCATGTTGTCGGGTGTGTATGATGCGTATAATGATATGTCGTCAGCGTAAAATAGGGCGGTGTTTTTCAGCTGTCCAGGGAGTCCGTCAAGGTACAGGAGGGCAAGAAGTGGACCTAAAATTGAGCCTTGCGGGCATCCAGAGTTTAAAGTCATTGTCGTTGAGTATGAGTTCCCTATTCTTACTTTCTGTCTTCGGTCAGTTAGGTATGATTTCAGCCAGTCGAGAAGAGAGCCAGTGATAGAGAAGTCGTTTTCGCACTTGAACAGGAGACCTTTATGCCAAATCTTGTCGAAATATTTTGTCACGTCTAAGTAAACAGCAGTAAAGTCTTGTCCTTTGTCCAGTGATTTGTAGAGGCTGTCAGTCATGTAGGCTAGTTGTAGTTGCGTGCTGTGGTGAGGCCTGTACCCGCTTTGATTGTCAGAAAGAAGCGAATTTTCAATGAGGTGGTCGTAAATATGTTTGAATATGATTTTTTCTAGAATTTTAGAGCAGCAACATAGAAGGCTAATGGGTCTGTAATTCTGTGGGTCAGCTGCCGATCCTTTACGTTTGAAAATTGGTGTGACATTGGCTTCCTTCCAAAGATTAGGAAATTTTGAAGTTCTGAGAGACATATTAAATAATTTTGCTAATGGTTCTGCTATGAGAATTGCTATCATTTTTAATATTTTCGTGGGGAGTTGATCAGGGCCAGTAGATTTGTGTGGGTCGAGAGAATTTAATGCTGACAGTACCTCTTGTTCGGTTACGGTTATTTCGTTTAGTTCGGGTACAGGCCTGGTTCTCGTGTTTGGAGGTGGAAGCGTAGGTGTGTTGTGTAGTTGTGTCTGTGCGACAAAGTGTCTATTAAGGATGGTGGCTTTTTCGCCATCATCTGTCGCTACTTGTCCATTGTGTGTCTCTAGTGGAGGTATTTGTGTGCATGGCCTTGGTCGAATAGCTTGTTTAAGAATTTTGTGGTACTGGTGTGGATTGTGTTTTTGTGTGAGGAGCTGATTCACTTGTCGTTTGGTGTGTATGTCTTTGCAGTCTTTGTTCAGTTTGGTAACAAAATTTCTCTGAAGTCGCCAGGCTTCCCAGTCACAGCTCGAGTTCGTTCCTTTTGCGATTTTAAAAAGTTTGTCTCGTTTTTTCATGTGATGTTTCAAATGTCTTGTTATCCAGGGTTTATCGCCGGGTTTAACGTGAATAATTTTTATAGGAATTGTCTCACGGGCGGCTTCCAAGATTGCTTGTGTGAATTTTTCGGTGGCGGTGTCTATGTCATTGTTAAGTAACTCGTCCCAGTCTGTGGTCTGTATGAGTCTGGTGTGCCTTCTTCCTCGTGTGCCGGCTGTTGGGACAAGACCCACTGTGGCCTCTGTCGTCAGGTGAACTTTGGCGTGCGACATTAAGTTCCCGTAGGTCGATCAATAACTCTCCGCTCTCCTCCCAATGCCCTCCTCATCTCCGGTCACACGCATTTAAAGCCCACGTAAGCCAACCTTGTTCTAGGTGGTGGAAAAGTTCTACGGAAGTGGCGCTTTCGAAACAGTACGATAAAGTGTATGCTGAACTTCTGACCAGCAACTCTTCCTCGAATACGAAGAACAGAAGAAGAGCGACCATACCGCCCACAAATAATTTTCTTTAAGAGTTTTTCATCTTGATTGATTCGACGCGAAAGTGTTGCGAAACTTAAATGGACCATTTTGGCGATCAAACTACTTTTACTTCTATTTTAGCAATAACTACTTGTTTTATTGGTGCGACTAAATTGCATAAATTGGTTAGTTGGTGAAACAGAGAAGTTGAATCTTTTTTTTTTTTAAGAATGCTTAAATAATTCAGAAGAATTTACTCCTAATGATGTGGTGATCAATCGTTACTTAATCGTCTCACGTCACATTGCTTGAACTACTGATCTATTATGTTGATAAACTTCTGACTGGCCTTTTTGTCCGTTTCAGACGAGGCGTACCGCTCGTGTTTGGAGAACGGGGAGTGGTTTCGGCACCCGGACTCGCCGCCAGGCGTGTCCGGCTGGTCCAACTACACGACCTGCGTGGACCTCCGAGACCTCAGCGTGAGTTAAACAGACCGCAGAGTGAGAGTTGCAAATTGACCCTCGTGGACCTCAGAGACCTCAGCGTGAGTTAAACATTCCACATTGGCCTGCGTGGACCTCGCATACCTCAGCGTGAGTTCCGCGCACCAACATTTGCGTGTGTTCTACACCAACGTTATCGTAACTTCCACATTAGTGTCATGCGGGCAGCTGATGTAGATAGCGCAGGTGTAGTTACCTACCACCTACCTTGGTTGTTTTCTCTTTTGGCGGAAACACGGTCTCGACTTCCCCTCCTCGCTCGCCCAGGTGTCTGCGTCTGCCGATTCCTTCTTGCGTAGCTGAAAGACGCCCCGAGCGGAGGGGAAGGAGACTTGGGAAGGAATGGGGTGACGGTGGGGCGGTGGGTGGGTCTGTTAAGATCCTAGTTTTACTCTCGCTGATGCACGTTGGTGTGGAACTCGTTCGGCGTAGGAAGACTATGGTGGTGATGTTTGCCAGCGTTGCCTTTCTTTCACGGATTTGTTTTCTTGTTGGATTTTGCTGCTCACATATCGATTCACACATACATCACTCGCACTCAAGACTGAGCAGTGAACATTCAACTCGACTAATGTGCCCCGCGCCCTTGCCGACGGCTCGCCGGCGGGCACCCGACTCCGTCTCCCGGCCGGCCCGGGCGCGGCGCCGCGGCGCGGCCGTCCCGGTTACCTGACCCGGCCGGCCAAAGGTCGGACCGGCTCCGGCCGCCGCTGCCAGTCCGCGGCGGGCCCGGGGAGGGGTACTACACTACATTCTTCCATTGTCGTGGTAACATGCTTGGTGAGGGCAAACATTGGCATGATTTCTTTCCCATTAATATTAAAGTATCGCCTGATTATCTCGTCTAGTGCTGCCATCTGTCGAATGCTGTTCTCCCTAGTTCTTCCTAGGGGTCGCCGCAGTCTGCCCCGCCGCAGTCTGCCCCGACACTAATGTTCCGTGATTATCGCCGGCTCTAATACGGTCCCATTAGTGTCATGCGGGCAGCTGATGTAGATAGCGCAGGTGTAGTTACCTACCACCTACCTTGGTTGTTTTCTCTTTTGGCGGAAACACGGTCTCGACTTCCCCTCCTCGCTCGCCCAGGTGTCTGCGTCTCGCGGACAGCCGTGCCTTTTTGTAGGTGAGGCTATCGCGGACAGCCTGACGTGTGACAATGTGGGGCCGTCGCGGACAGCCGTCCATGTCTGCAGGTGAGGCTATCGCGGACAGCCACTCACGTCTGTAGGTGAGACTATCGCGGACAGCTGTGGATGTCGGCATGTGAGGCTATTGTGGACAGCCGTCCATGTCTGCAGGTGAGGATATCGCGGACAGCCGCGCACGTCTGCAGGTGAGACTATCGTCGGTATGTGAGGCTATCGCGGACAGCCGTGCATGTCTGCAGGTGAGGCTATCGCGGACAGCCGTGCACGTCTGCAGGTGACTCTATCGCGGACAGCCGTGCATGTCGGTATGTGAGGCTATCGCGGACAGCCGTGCATGTCTGCAGGTGAGGCTATCGCGGACAGCCGTGCCTTTTTGTAGGTGAGGCTATCGCGGACAGCCTGACGTGTGACAATGTGGGGCCATCGCGGACAGCCGTCCATGTCTGCAGGTGAGGCTATCGCGGACAGCCACGCACGTCTGCAGGTGAGACTATCGCGGACAGCCGTGCATGTCATGTCGGCATGTGAGGCTATCGCGGACAGCCGTGCCTTTTTGTAGGTGAGGCTATCGCGGACAGCCGTGCCTGTTTGTAGGTGGGGCTATCGCGGACAGCCGTGTATGTGTGTAGATGCAGCTATCACAAACAGCTCTTGATGTCTGTAGGGGAGTCTAAGTGGACAGGTGAGGGGATGGGACAGGGCCACTACTGCAAACAGGCGCCGCCGGAGGGGGTGTCTGCCGACCCCTTATTATTTATCAGTCTTGGCGCCGGGTCGGAAATGCATCTTTGCGTCACAGTCTGGCGCTGCCAACTGGTGTCAGGTAGGTGTGCGTTCCGTGTAGGTATACGGTCGGTGGACAGGCTCATGGCGGCAATGCAGCATAGCAGCAGGCATACGTGCATCCACAGTGTGGCACATTGCCAGCAGTGACCTGACCCCCAGTCGGTCCGCTGCAGACCGGTGAAAGGCAACACCCCCGATCAACGGCAGTCCGACCGCCGGCCACAGGCCCGTCATGGCCTTTTCAAGGGCAGCTGACGTCACGCCGGATGAGTCACCCGGCCGCCCCCGGTGCGGAGGACGGTCAAGTGTCACACGCCCGCGCCTGCGCCGCTGGCAACCACGTGACCATCAGTAGCTATTGTTGCTGCCGCCGCCCGCGGCGCTACCAGCGTTGGAAGTGCCACGTAGAGCTGACGTCACGATCACGCTATGGCTGGTCGGACCCGCCAAGATGGCGTCAGGGCGACAGGCCACAGGGCATTGGGCGTAGGCCATGGACATCAATACTGATGCCAGGCAAGCAAAGAGTATATAGGGCTAAAAATGCATGGCAGGCTAAGAAACGTCAATGACTGGGGCCATGCAAGCAATGACATTGGTGGAAAGAACCATTGTAGGTACGGAAGAGGAGGTCATCCTGGTTGGCCGGGCACAAGATAAATGTACAGAAAGTCACAGGTTCATACACTGAGCAAATCACACCGGGGTGAGCTGCTCCCCAGGCACATTGCAGGTGGTGAGACACCTGATTGCAGTCAGTGTGGGGCTCGTTATGGTCAGTAATGTGGCGCACGGCGCCCGGCCTCGGCTAGGGGGGGGGGGCGCGATGGGGGCAAACTCTTATCATGTATGCTATATTGAATCGCCGTTAGCGATCACGTGAGTGAGTAAGGTGCAAGTGGCAATCACCACCGGCGTGTTATGGGACGCGGCGAGGAACGGGCGAGACAAAATGGCGCCCGGCGCCGGGGGGGGGGGGGTAATCTCCCCATGCACGCGGTGAAAGCCGTCGACAGACCTAGTTAGGTAGCCGGGAATGTCCAGTAACATACCTGCAGTTTTGTGCGCTGGCGAGGGGCCATCGCGACCACAGTAGGATCCTAGTTTTACTCTCGCTGATGCACGTTGGTGTGGAACTCGTTCGGCGTAGGAAGACTATGGTGGTGATGTTTGCCAGCGTTGCCTTTCTTTCACGGATTTGTTTTCTTGTTGGATTTTGCTGCTCACATATCGATTCACACATACATCACTCGCACTCAAGACTGAGCAGTGAACATTCAACTCGACTAATGTGCCCCGCGCCCTTGCCGACGGCTCGCCGGCGGGCACCCGACTCCGTCTCCCGGCCGGCCCGGGCGCGGCGCCGCGGCGCGGCCGTCCCGGTTACCTGACCCGGCCGGCCAAAGGTCGGACCGGCTCCGGCCGCCGCTGCCAGTCCGCGGCGGGCCCGGGGAGGGGTACTACACTACATTCTTCCATTGTCGTGGTAACATGCTTGGTGAGGGCAAACATTGGCATGATTTCTTTCCCATTAATATTAAAGTATCGCCTGATTATCTCGTCTAGTGCTGCCATCTGTCGAATGCTGTTCTCCCTAGTTCTTCCTAGGGGTCGCCGCAGTCTGCCCCGCCGCAGTCTGCCCCGACACTAATGTTCCGTGATTATCGCCGGCTCTAATACGGTCCCATTACATTGAGGCATGAGTTCCACAGAATTCAACGTAAGTTCCATCGTTTCAGGCGTTTGCGGGTCACATTAGGTCGCTGGTTAGGTCGGGAGCAGTAAAATCGATAAACGACACACACGAACGCCTTGCAAACAGCCTTCGTCGATCGATGCTTTGCTTTGCTGGCGAGCCGGACGTTGAACTTGTAAGGTCACGATACGCCCACAAAACTGATGGAAAATTGATTGGTCGGTCTCGCAACGGGAGCGGAAATCACGGGCCAAATTAGAGGGAGGTCGACATGAAAGCACGTGCTTTATCAAATACTCGTAGAACTTTGATTGTGCGATCTCTAGTACTGTTAAAATGAATCGGGGTCTCATTGGGACGGGATATGGAGTTCTATAGCCTTGGGATATGGTTTGAGCAAAAAGCCGCCATTGTAAGGTGGTCTGCACAAATAGACCATCGATCCCCTTGAGTAAGAAGCAAGACCAATCATTCCTGACATGATCGGTCTTACTTTTTCCGCCAAATAACTATTGCATCTTGAACGATCGAGGCCAATACTACGCAACACGCAATTTGATGAACTATTCTGGTCTACACCTTTTGTCAGTTTATTTCGGGGCGTAATCGTCCATTTTAGAACTAACGAAATGTGTGTAGACATACCGCAATATTATGTACAAGAATCACATAATATCTCGGCGCAGGTCAGGCAGTCGGCGGTAAAGCATTCAATTTCGGCACAGCGGCAAAACGCTCCATTTTCAGCGATAGCGCAAGTAGAATCGGCTGCGCCAGCACAGGTTTAGAGGTAGCGCACGCTATTTAGCAACAGTAACAACCAAATTCGGCACTGTTCATTCAATTTCGGCGGGTAACCGGAGGCATCCAGGTGATTCATATTTTCAGGAACGCTTCTTGAGCATCAAATGAATCCTCATACAGCTTTGTGGCTTTGAGATATTCTCAGGGGGAGAAAAGCAGGTCATTGTTTGTTTAGCGTCACAGTACCTACCTAAGATCGTTTCGCTGTTTCCCGTTTCGAATTCTGATGTGAAAATTGATAAACTTTACTGAATTAGTACTATTTATCCTAAAAAGATAACATCTGTGGGCTGGTTTCTTTTTTATATTACATACCCGCTCCTGTCCGCACATGGCGGACGACGATCGACAAGGCAAACGCCAATCGTTGTTGGACTCGAGGCAAGCCCCGATTCTCTTTCATTGAAGCACGTCTGTGCTGTTGTCACTGTGTGCCAAGTTTTTGCCCAAAACATGAACCCATTTTATCAAAAGACCTGTTATTTTACTTCACTTTGAAAGCAACCCATCACCTCGTCAATCAAACATAACACAATTAGCTC